TATGTATGTATGTATGTATGTATGTACTGTATATGTATAAACAAAAAGGTTGTAATAACTGTTAGACATTCATTCTGTATGTCTAACATTCTGAGTGTCAAGAGTTTGTAGCAATGTTGTTTTTTCCCTAATGAGATGAGGGTGAAATAGCTTAAACATTATTATTTTCATGCATGGTTTTAACTCAAACTAACAAATAAGCATAACAGACATCAAATAACTTACAGTTGAGAAATCCTGCTGTATTCCTGCAAAATCAAAAAGGAGAAAACTGTTAATTAAACCAATGTTAAACTTTTTACCAAACAAAGACAGATATTGTGTGAGAATCCCACTGACCACAATGAAGGCCTGATCCTGAACACGCCGGTCTCCCCTGGCATCAGCCAGACCCTCCAGTGTGTGCAGGCTGTTCTGCAGGGACTGCAGGGAGTTCTGGAGGATGGAGAGGTTCTTCTCCAAACTCCCCAGGACCCTGTTCTCCTCCTTCATCACACACTGAAGAGCCGACTGCTCCTCCTGCTCCAAAGCCTCTCTGATGGTTCTGTACTGCTGCTTCACTCCTTCCTGCGCCTCGGTTAAAACCACCTGAGCAAACAAACCCAACGAGAACCAGCATTTTGTAAAGGCAGAATCTCTCAGCTGGTTAATTTTATTAACAAATCCCTACAGGTAAAGCTGTTATGAAAAAGGGAAATTCCTCTGAGCGGACGTGGACGGATGACAAACAACTACTGGAAATGTCTAGTTGCTGAGTTATAGATGAGACACATGCTGCACACAAATCTGAAACACTGCATCGTTTTCTTCAATAAATACATTTCAAACACAGCATCTTGTTTCAGTTGTTCATTGGGGTTCTACTTTATTTTTCTAACTTCTAAAAATATGAAAATCATCGTGTTAAAGTCCTGGAAGGTCACAGACTTTCAATCTAAGCACGTAGATTCATCTGAAACATAAATGTGACCTTAAATCAGAGAACGTATCTTGTTATGTAAGTGCAAGTTAATAACACCTTCCTCTTACTCTGAAAGTTTCTTTCTTCTGTGTGAGTTCAGTCACTCTGCTCTTAACTTGCTGTTCAGCATCCTGCAGCTGCTTGATGTCTTCTTTCAGGTTGGCCTGAGTGGGGAAAACATCAGCAAAGTTTAGAATTTCATAAAGAAATGAGTATGCTGTTATTTTTAAACACATGTTGTAAACATTAGAACCATTCCTTGTTTTCATTATTGGTTTCTGTCTGAGCAAATTCATTAAAAGAATTAAAGTATTATTTTGAAGAATAAAGCCTCAGTTTTAGCCTTATCTATTCAGAACAGCTCTAAATGCCAGTAAACAACTTTATACTTTAAAATAACTTAGAAATCTTTATTTGAGAATAGCAAATTCAAACTGTAATAATATAATTAATTATTTTGTTTAAAAATATATTGTTTATGATTTAAACTAAACCAAGGATTAATAAAAAGTGCACAAAGAAAGCAGAAATAACATGTTTTTCTTAGTGTATAAGTTTTTCAGAAGTGAAAGCTAAAACAGGTTATCTCACACAAGGATTCTGATATTTCAGCCTGAAGGTGCTGAAACCTGAAAAGCAAACGTGTTAAAGTATAAACCCCCCCACAGATGAACAGTATAGCGCTGCACTGGAGCCAGCACTCACCCTGAGCTCGTTCTCCGCTGCCCTGATGCTGATGCAGGTGTGGTCGCGGTGGGAGCCTATGACGGTGCACACGGTGCACACACACACTGCACACTGTCGACAGTAGATGCGGTTTATCTCCTGGTGCTCCTGGCACCTCCAGAGTGAAATGTCCTCCACGGGCGGAACCAATGTGTGGTTCTGGAAGACCGACGATTCCAGATGGGGACGGAGGTGTTCTTTGCACATGGAGGCGCCACACACCAGACAGGTCTTCACTGCCGGTTGACACTGTGCTTTAGGGCAGTAATGACACGGGACGGGGCTTGTATTCTTGTTCTCTGGCCTGAGGAAGATGCCAACGTGGTTAGAGGACCCTGCAGCAGCAGCAGCAGCAGGACTTCTGGGGAATATCAAAGGGGTCTTGCAGGCCTGCTGTGCAGGGCTTGAAATTCTCACTGGATTTGAGACCCCAGGTTTGCAATCGGAGTTGGCAGGCGAGGCAGGTTTCTTTGGAGAGACGTGAGCTCCTGTGACACGCATATCTTTCTTTGGGGCTGCAGAGAGAGGTGCATCGCACAGATCCACTTCACTGGAGCTGTCTGAGTCATCCAGTAAATCAGGCTGCTTCTGTGTGGCTGACACATCCTGAAGCCCATCGTTTGGATGAGCCTTGCTGTCAGAGTTCTCACCGTTGGATGTGCCATCACCCTGCTCAAACTGTACAGATTCTGGGTCACACGCTTTTTTAGATGTCCCTGCAGTGGTCGACTGCCCGAATTCATCGGACAGAGAAGTGGTGGGAGATTCAGTGTCACCGGACCGCTCAGAGGGAGACTCCACAGCTGTTCGCTTTGCAGCATGTTGCTCTGAAACAGGCGAGCTGGCCTTTCTCTTCCCAAGCAGTCGGCTGGTGAGCGAGGGTCTCCTCAGGTCGAAGTCCAGTGGAGCTTGTTCTGTATTACTGGATGTGCCTGTATGAAACATAAAGCAGGCAAACCAAATCTGTTAAACTGAACACTTTTACAACACATAAACACCTGCAAGCTCTTTGCTTTTACAACTATTAAAAAGTTCAAGTTTTATAATTCAAATAAATGCAAAAACGCTATTTAATTTTATAAAAACATATTTTTGTTGCTGTCTTTGCTGTAAACTATAATGATGATTGGTTTCTTCATTTTAATTACCAAAACGTTTTTAATCACTAGTCAAATAAATACGTTTAATAAAATGAAATGAAGGACATCTAGCAGTCTAAGATAAACATTTGTTACCAATTTCTTTAAGTAGAAAAGACAGCTTAAATAGCATAACTACTGTGCAGCACACATGAATAGCTACAGTCAAGTTACTCTATATTTTTTTTGACAGAATCAGCTTCAAGTTACTTCTAAAGTTAAATATTTTAAATGAAATAAAAAAACAGATCTAGTCTGAAAAACAAAACGGTGCATTTTGCAAGTACACTGACTTGCAATTACACTCTATAAAATACGACATACATGAATAATATATATTTGATATGATTAACAAGTGATTACTGTGAAAACAACAGATTTAACGTGCATTTTACTCAAGCTAATTAACAAGTTAGAAGCATTTATAAAGACGCTATAAGGCTCTAATAAGGTTTTAGTCCTGGGTCTATTCAGTCACTTCGTTGTAAGACGAGGATATTACACTGTAATAATAAGGTAATAGCCTGTTAAAGTTGTGCTTTTTTACGTAACCAAAACGTAACGTCAGAGCCTGAGCGGAAGACCTCACGTTAGCTAAGCTAGCTAACATGGGCTAACTGCAAAGAGCAGATTAACTAAGGAATAATGCTAAGCATTGGCGTACCTGCAGCACTACTGCGACTCGGGGTAGGCGACCGGATGAAAGACTTGCTAAACGGCAGAGTCTGGTACACAGTTTTACACCTGGACTGCGGGCAGTGGTATGGTCCGGTCGGGTTAATGCTCCACAAGTCTCCAATACATCGTTGGCAGAACCGGTGGTTACATTTTAGGGTGACGGGGTCCTGGGTCAGCTCGTCACAGAGATGGCATTTCATCGGAGTGTCCAGTGCAGCACCCATTTTGGTTTTTGGCTGACGTTTAGTTTCTGTTTCGCAGAAATAACAAAAGGGGCGGAGCCAAAGATTTGAATCCCGCTTCCTTTACAGCGATAAGGAAGTGGGACCAGGTCTTAAAGGGACAGTTCATATTTTTCAAGTGGGATTTTTGCGTGGAGGTAAATAGGTAATATCTTACCTGGAGTAGATAACCCTAATTGGTGTCAGTTTGAAGAATCAGAGGTTCTGTGTAGATGGTAGAACTAAAGGGCTTTTTATGCTACATCTGAAGCGACAATGTCAGTTCGCGGTCAAGTGGTTACAGAATTTGTCTGACAGACAGCTCACCCAGCCAGAAACTGAAATCCTTGCCAGKGGACTGAACTTTGCGGTCGCACCAACAAGAATCCCCTTGGTTGAGATGATTACAGCCACAGAATCAGCCATCCGAAACAACAAAATCCCAGGATTTGAAGCAGAGCAACTTAGGAATAAAGTTTCAGCCAGCCTCAGCAGAACCCTTGAATGGACCTTACCAGGGAGGCTTAGAAGTGTGACCCTCCTATAATTGGAACACACTCTGTGGTCCAGCAGGGTCACCACACAGCCTGAACCTCACACCTGCAGCAAGGTGAGTCTGACCACCAGCTCCTCTATGATCCTGAACCCATGGGTGGAACTAGAAGGGTGGCCAGAATGGCAAGTGCCACCACTGGCACATGGTTGGATTTTGTGTTTGTATTTTATATTAAATATTGTTCTCTGGTACTGTACAGTATAAATCTTTAGCTTAAAAATGGCTGAATTATAGCCCTTTGTAAAATTAGCATTAGCGTTATTGGTTAGCTTTATTTATTTGTAAGAAATTCGTGTTTATTATCGACTGAAATCAGATGAAAACACACAGGTTAAATAAATTGATCTGTGATAAGAAATAATTGCCATACAACACCAGAATTCCGGAGTGAGGTTTATTGCCAGCTGAATGACAAACGAAACCACACTGCCTTAAAACCAGGAAGTCACATTTTATATACAGTTAGCCTCCTCTAACCCTAACCCTAAACCTAACCTAACCCTAACCTAACCCTAACTTAACCCTAACCTAACCTTAACCTAACCTAACCCTAACCTTACCCTAAACCTAACCTAACCTAACCTAAACCTAACCTAACCCAAACCTTACCCTAAACCTAACCTAACCTAACTGTAAGAAATTCGTGTTTATTATCGACTGAAATCAGATGAAAACACACAGGTTAAATAAGTTGATCTGTGATAAGAAATAAGTGCCATACAACACCAGAATTCCGGAGTGAGGTTTATTGCCAGCAGAATGACACACAAAACCACACTGCTTCAGAACCAGGAAGTCACATTTTATATACAGTCCATTATCTTCAACGCCTGAGTTCGCCCCTGCTGGCCTACGGC